GCCTGCTGCTGCCCGGGGAGATTGGCAAGCACGCCGAGTCCGAGGCCACCAAAGCCATCATCAGGTACACCGTCTGCCAATGAGCTGCCTCCAGACCACCTGACCACCTTGCAAACCAAAGGCTCTTTTCAGAGCCACCTCACTTGGCGGGAAAAGGCCTGTAGGCTTTAAAAAGTGGGACAAACTCTAGAGTTCTTGTTCTCGTTGTGGCATTCTGTGGATATTTAAAGTAGGTTTACTTTGAACCAAGCATGATAGGCACTGCTTTCATCTATATTTGAGTGCAGTTTTTCCCTTGCACACCTGTGGACTCTGCTTAAGCATGCCGCTTTTCTTAGCTTTCCTACGCGGTGATTTCTGTTAGATATTTCTGTAGGTCCGCCTCAATGGGGGTTGTTCTGGTTATAATGATGTTTACCTTTTTCTCTCTCATTCTCTCATGAACGTGTGGTGAATTTTCCAGAGGTTCGTTATGGGTCATATGGCAACAGATAAAGTGTGGAAGCTGATGGAAGAATCCGTCTGACTTGTGTTAGGCGGGTTATTGAAGGGATTTTTAAGTATCTGAAGCAACGTCAATCTCCTTTATGCTCGTATAGAAAAGATATTTTTCATATGCTTTTGAAATTTCTGTTACCGTGATATAATGGGTTCCTATTACAATTTTTAAATGGATTCTGGAATACTATGAACATTTCTGTCTTAATATTTTGTACAGTAAATATTGGCAGATGTTATTGACAGTACAGCTTCGGTGGTTCCTCTTTATGTATTTACTTGATTTGTTCTGTGTGTTTTTTTAATCAGGTCTTTTATTTCAACAGCAGAGAAAGCAGTACTGTCCTATTTGTGATAATATCACCATAGCACTGTACAATGTTTGTTAGTTTACAGCATATTTTTACAGGTAGTTTTTATCTGGTGTTTACAACAATGCTATCATAACTACTTTATTACAGAAGCAACTCAGATCCGGAGAGCACGGAGTCCCAAAACTCGTAATTGCAAGATCAGTTCTTGAACGCAGGAGATTCACACGCTCCACCAGGTTCCATAAGAAAATATGGAGAAAAGACCTGCAATTGAAGTAATTTTCCTGGTGCTGAAGAAAACTGTATTCAGTTACTTCTTACCACCTCTCATTTAAATTCGTCATCTCCTTTATCTTCTCACCCCACCCCCACCATTCTTACCACCTAAAGATTGAAAATATGGCTCATTCATTCACTCAACTGAATCCTTGCTATCTACTATATCTGGAATAGACACTGCAAATATGTCTAAGTGTAAACAAGCAAACAAACAAACAAATATAAAAGCCATGCCTGACTTCAGGTTGTATTTGATTAGAGTCTGCTAAGGTTCCTGTTTATTTCTAAGAGTGTAAAGTTTCCCAAGATAAAGTTGTCCTAGGTTTTTCTCATTTGCAGTGCAATCAGATCAACTAAAACTATTTAGGTTCTCTTTTTTTTTTAGCATTTACATCTTTTTAAAATTTAATTTCCAAATATTCACAGATACCTTTCGACTGTAATGCTGAGAAGGGATTTCTTGTCACTTTCTGGCTCTAATATGAATGATAGTAGCATTTCATCAGCAAAGGTGGTATTAAGATTTTGTTTAATATCTATGTGCTCAGAATGACAATTTTGGTTTTCTAAGCCATTTCAGGTAACTTATTAGATATCAAACATGCCCTTCCAGTAGCTTCAGCAGCCATTGCAAACACTTTCTTTTCTTGGTTTATTTAAGTAAGTTATCGATGTTCCAATATTAAAATTTCCTTAAATTTGTGGAAGGGAACCCCTTCATCAGAGGCACTTCGAGGAAGTTTGTAGCACGGAGATACGTATTGTGTGGTTTGTTTGCTGATGTCCTTTAGGCCTACCTTCCCCAATCAGAAGTGATCTGAAAGCTGTAATTTCATCTGAGCTCTTTCATTACTCCCAATTTTATCAGCATTCACATCTATTTCTTAACCTCATTGAAATGCAAGCCCGACACTAATCGCCCTACTTCATTCTCCA